CTACAGTGTTCATAGGAGTGCCACGACGCGAAGCTGGCTTGGGTGGACCGAAGTCTGGTGTGTCGTTCCAGGCAGGAATACTGCCTCTGTTGGCTGCTGGCACGATTGATGGCGAGTTTGAGAAGTTGCGTGGCGGAGGTGCGATTCCTTGTTGGGGCGCTGCGTTGTAACCATAGCCCTGAGGCTGAGATGGTTGGTAACCAACCGGTGTGTACGAGTTGCCGGGTGCTGCTGCTGGTGTGAATGTTGATGGTCCAGTGGACTGAGCTTGTGAGGATATGGGGTTGGCTGGAGCATAAGGTGACGCTCTTGGTTGTGTCTGCATAGGGTTGACCGGAGCGTAGGGCGTCTGCTGGGGCGGTGCCGGTGTTGCTTGTGCAGGCTGTCCATACGACGGGACCACAACTTGACGACGACCAGCAGTGGTTGATTGGGCCTGTTTTTGTGCTCCCACTGGCTGAGCTGCAACCTTCCTGGTGGCTTGCTTGACCCGGTTCCTGGCAACGTCTGCCGCTGGATACTTTTGAGGCAGGAGATCCAGATACTTCTCCGCAATTGCGAGCTGACCGTGGGCAGATGCAATGTCAGCGTATTCAACGTACTTTGCGTACAAAGGCTCGAGTTTCCAGTCGTCCTCCTTTTGCTGTTCGGCATCCTTGAAGTTAGTGACCTTTCGGAATACCGTGACCTTCTCGATGAACTCCTGCAGCGATCGTGCGTGTATGGAGAAACTGTTGTCGCCGTCGGTCTGCTCGATACCTGCCTTCTCGCTTTCTTGGAGCTCCTGTGCCCAGTTGACAACGACCTTCTCAAGCTTGGAACCAGCCAAGTAACAGAAAGACGCATCTTTTCGGTACGTTCCTTCCTCTTCAGAGATGGCCTCTTCGAGACGGTCTCCGAGAGCCTCGCAAAGGTCGGGGAAGTCAGCCTGGTCGGCAAACGTGCAGATCGTAGCCATGACTTCTTTCCAGTCCTTGAGGTCGGCATTGTACACGAAGTCCCATAGATTCTTTCCGACCACTGATGCAAGCAAGCGCAGGTAGTTAGGTGCGTCAGACTGTCTCTTGAAGTATGCAGCCTGTGCCTTGGCGATGCACTTCTCTCCACCGCAGATGGCAATCATGAAAGCATCTGACAGTCGGTTCTCCTTTAGGCACACGTCCAACGCCGCGTTGAAGTCACCAAGCATGAGGTTACGAGTGATCTTGGTGTCGGCTTCCGACTCGGAACCAGTGTAGATCTGGAAGGGGTTGTTGGTCTTCGCGCCCTTGGAAGCCGCGAGATCGGACAAGAAGTTGCCCTCGTCTGTCGCATTGTCAAAGAACGAGGATCCCTCGGCCGCATCGCCGTTTGTCTTTTCCTCCTTCTTCTCTTCTTCTGGCTCTTCATCCTTGTCAGAGAAGCCCAGGTACTCGACAAGCTTGCTTCGCGGGTTCTCCGACGTGAGAGTCTCAATCACGGTCCAGTCGGCCTTCTCCTCCTCGTTGGCTGCCTTTGCAATCTTCGACTCGCAGATTGCCGTAATGTCGCCCTTGTCTAGAGCCTTGTCGAACTCCTCGCTCGCGGCGCTGACGTCCGAGTCTACAGCAAATGTGGAGATGGAAATCTTGGACTTGTTATCGACGATGCCGAATCGCACCAGCTTTCCACCAAAGCCAAAAGCCACACCTGCTCTCCTCTTCAGCCACTTCGGGGGTGTCTTCAGTGAGAAGGATGCGCCCTGGGGTTCTGCGTGGGTCTGAGCGAAGAAGTCCTCGCCTGCAGGCGCTTCCGTCGCCGCCTTGTTCTGGTCCGCGTCAGCCCCAGTGTTTTGTAGTGTTTGTACTGCGATCTTGCCGTCAAAGGATGCGGTCGCGAGGAGGTTCGGGTTCGAAGGGTTGAATCTGGTCTGGAAGGTCCAGTTTGTCACGACTGGGAACTCGCCCAATTGCTCTCCGGTGTGCGGGTTCCAAGCAATTGTCCGGTTGTCCTTGCCGCAAGACAACAAAAGGTCGCTGTCTTGCACACACCACGAAAGTGACAGTACACCCTGGTCGTGTGCTTGAAGTGTCTTCTCGGGCGCATTGGTGTTGCGGAGGTCCCACACCAGCACGAGCGGGTTCTGGTCAGTCGGGATAGCGGTGACTAGTCTCGTGGGCACATTGGGGTCCCAAGAAACCGCGCTGACTGTTTTCCGTCCATAGTGGTTTAATGTGAGGTTCTCCTTCTTCAGCTTGACGTCCCACACGGTAACAAAGCCGCCGCTGCTGCCGGTTGCCAGAATATGCGCAACCTTCTTGTTCCAGTCCAGTGTAGTGTATTCGTCGGGGTTCGCTCCAGCCTTGCCGAGGCGGAAGGACTTGGAGTCGTCGGCGAGGTCGTGGACGTAGAGTTCGCCCTTGGCACCGGCCGAGGCGAGGATGTTGGATCGGAAGGGGTTGAACTGTATCGCCTGGATGGGGCCGGTGTGCTTGTCAATCTGGTCAATTTCCGCATCGTCGCTGCATAACGTCAGCACTCTGTGGTTGCATGCAGCTGTCCATGCGCTCTGACCCTTCGCCTGCCTGCAGCTTCTCTGCGTCCCATAGCACGAGTGCCCCGCTGTCGAGCGCGCCCGCTATTATGCCCCGCGGGTATTGTTCGCTGGGTTGACTCCACGCAATGTCGTTGAACCTGGCATGCCGTTTAGTTCTTTGGTCCCAATGGCTTAGAAATATCCTCTAGTACCTCGACTCTACGCTCACAGTAGCAACGGGCTTGAGTTCGACACCCTGCTCGCTGTCGTCCAGCTTGAGCTCCCAGAGCTCTAATTGTGTTTCATTCGAAAAGTCGGCATCTACAGCCCCGGCCTTGGTTCCAGTAGCAATCAGGGGCTGCGTCGGGCCTGGCGACCAGGCGAAACAGGCGGTCCGGGGGATTTCTCGTAGGCGGACCATGACGGTGTTGGGCGGTGATGGCGCCTCGGTGTCAGATTAGCGAATTGGGGAATACGGCACGAACAAAATGATGGACAAGGAAGTGGGTTTTGTAGAGGGCGACGAGCTGGTTATGTGGTGTTAAAGAGAGTCCGCAATGTGTCTTGAGCGCGGACTGGGAGTTAAGGCAACGACGTGCTTCACCATGGACCATCCACCTGTCCTTCCCTGGTCTATGGCGGGCGCGCCAGCCAAGGTGGGTCCCGCTAACCACGTGATATCGAATTTCAGCGCGCTCTTGAGAACACGACCATCCTACCACCAAAGCCGCAAATCGCATTTCACAGGCAGCCATGTCGAATTTATCAGACACGTCACGACTAAAGGCCACCGTGTTCGTCGGCGGCCTCGACCAGGCAGTCACCCAGCAGACGCTTTTCCACGCCTTCCTGCCTTTTGGCGACATTGTCGAAGTCAACTTGCCCAAACCGGAGAACCAGAGCCAGGGCGATCAACATCGGGGGTTCGGCTATGTTGAGTTTGAGTCTGCAACCGACGCGACAGACGCCATCGACAACATGGACCGGAGCGAGCTGTACGGTTCCGTCATCAAGGTAGCAGCAGCCAAGCCACAGAAAGACGCGAATGAAGGATTAGGCAGCAAGACCGCCATCTGGGAGCAGGTACGTTGCTTTCAATCTGAAACTTACACGTCTGGTATGCTAACAAAATGCAGGAGGGCTGGTTGGCCAAGCACGCCGTGAGTGAGGAGGATCGCAAAGCAAGTGAGCAGATTCAAGAGGAGGCGAACGGGCCCATGGACCCTATGCAGGGCCTGGAGGGTCTTGACGAGGCTGGACCGAAGCCAGTGTAATCTCTTTGATTCTTTGGTCTCATAGCATGGCGTTTGCAGGCGTTTGGGAAACATTTGATACCAAGTGCTGTCTCGTGCATATCATATCAACTACACATTCAAACCCACGACATAAATCACTGGTGCTCTGTCTCGTACATCGCCAAGTCAGCCGCAATATCAAAGCTACGATTCAAGATGTCTCGTGTTTATCAGATTCAAATTCAAACCCACGACACAACACAAAGGGATCTCATGCTTGATTATCGAACGTGACTCGGACTCTATCCCGTATGCTGTACCTATACACAATGGCTGCTGGAGCCCTTCCAAGCCCGCCGATTCCGTCCTTCTCGTATCCGGTTCCTTCCTTGTCGACCAGACATCTAGTCCTGCTTGCCCTGTCGCTTGAGACGGAGCGTCTTGTCGACCCAGAGTTTCCGGGTGATGGAGAAGAAGGCCATGCCGACGGCGATGCTGTGGGTGTATTAGACTACGTGTTATGAGGGTATGAGGGTTTATGCGGGCGCAATGGAGGGGCTTACGCGAGGACGACGACTAGAGTTTGGGTCAGCAAGAGTCAGGGATACGGGTAGAGATAGACGTACTCAGAGGCCAGATCTCAGTGGGGATGTTCTTGAGCTGGCGGATACGCTGGGATACGGTGTGGGCTACATGGTCAATCGTCAATTCATGTTGGATGTCATAAAGTGGATGCTGTGATTGGCTTACCGCCGTGCTCCTCCTTCTGCAGTATAGTCAGCATCAAGTTCCCAGAAGACGGAAGTCGGCGAGGCATACGGGGACGGGGTTGCGCAGGCCCATTGTCTGCCTCATGAAGAGCTGGGGGCTCTGGCGCATGGCCATCATGCGCGTAGGTTGCATGGCCGCCATGCGTGTCGGCTGCATGGCCAACATACGAGTTGGCTGCATGGAGAGGGCGCGGGTGGCTTTGAACATGGTGGCGGTATTGCTGACTTCGCAATTGGGGTGGAGGCAAGTTCGTAGACGTTGTCGTGGGGGATCGAAGGTCGTCTTCGCGGGCTTTCGTCACAGTGAGGCACGCAGATGCTGAGAGAGCTCGCGGGCCCTGTCGCCCGGAAAACGCCGAGCGAATTGTGTGTGGACAATGCGTTTCGGGTCGAACCATCGCAACCTCACAACTTCACTCCGTCACCACTTCGACTGCACACGCCCGCCTGCCATTGCCGCCACGCCCACGCCCGAACCACGCCCAATCCCCCATCGCAATCATGTCTGACAACGAGAACGGCGAGAACGGCGACGAGCTCGTAACCAAGCCCTTCAAGTTTGTCACTGGTGAGCTTTTCCCGCACCTCCGCATGTCGAGCTTCAATCGCTAATCTGCCGCCGCACAGCTGGTACGCCTTCCCCGGACTTGCACTGCGCCCTGCATCGCCTGCCAAAATGACGCCTGGAGCTTGAGATGGGCCATATTGGGTGCTAACATGCTTCGGCGCATATAGGCTTCGATGCCCGCTTCCCCAACCAGAACCAGACCAAGCACTGCTGGCAAAACTACGTCGATTACCACAAGTGCATCATCGCCAAGGGCGAGGACTTTGCCCCCTGCCGCCAGGTGCGCACCCCGGAAACGTTGCATTGAAGATGGGCATGCATACTGATGGATATAGTTCATGTTGGCCTACAAGTCCCTGTGCCCCAGCGGCTGGACATCGCGATGGGACGACCAGCGTGGTGAGTATCTGATTCCGAACAATGCATCTGCATGCGCAACGAACCTTGAAAGAGTTATAGCTAACACACGATATAGAGGCTGGCAACTTCCCCGTAAAGCTCGACCAGTAGAAAGCTCGCGACGACACCCAGCATGCGACAGTTTCTTAGAGCAGGACAGGATTGGATCAGAGTGGCATTCGCAACTTAGAGCCCTGTATCATAGCGATCGATATCAGCAATGCGACTCTGGTCTATCTACTTTGCCACCCCACTGCACCGCTACCTCGTGATGTCATGACCCCCTTCGCGTGACACCATTAGTCTTCCCGTCGTTTGTCTAGTCCTGCACATCTCCTGCATACCGTATACACCGCCGTACGAAGTATGCGGACCTGATGTTTCAGACTCACCATATAAACTTCATCACATGCATATGCACGCCGATCGAACCAAATCTCTTAGTGTCATACATTATCATTCAAAGTGTGCTCGATATACGAGATATGTAGTGAGTGTAGCCAATTTGCAGTAAAGTTGGGACTTTCTATCCTGTACAGATAAGGGGATGATGGTGAATCGCCGCTTGTGTGCAAAAACAACGCTAAGGTGACAAAGGGACCAAAAGGGACCAAGGAACAAAGTGACCGCCCAGTTGCGCCGCAAGGCCAGACCGCTAAATGCATGCAAGACCTGCTCTGCTATAAACAATCATGAAGAACTCAGGCGTATCAAGCCGAGTAGATAAGGCTGTGTGTTAGATTTGGATTTGGGGTATCGAGCGATGGGAAAGAGGCTAGTTCGCGGATGGCCATGCGTTCACTGCGAAATTGCCGAGATACTTCGGTCCTCTACATGCCCGCAGTGAGCATGTGGGCAGAGGAATCCAGGACTGATACGGCTCAGTGCCCAGCATAATCTCATGACCCTCACATTGAAACCGCTTAAGAGCCCAATTCGGGTCGTCAGTCCGTAGGTCCTGCTCCTCCTCCTCCTCTTCCTCCTCGGGAATAGCAGCATTCGCGTCGTCGCCGTGAGCGCTATCCTTGCGCCAGTGCTTTCCCTGATCCAAGACCTCACCGATACTAGACAGCGAATCCGGCGCTGCCGCAGCTGGCTGGTAACTTGCGTCGTAAACCTGGCGAGTGTTCGGGTCCATGAGGCAATCGAAGCCAGTCTGTAGCGCACGGTACTTCTTCGCGTCGTTGGCAAAGTACACAGAACGCAGACGGCGGTACGCAGCTCTGATCTCGTCGGTGGTGGCCTTGGGTGTGAGTTCGAGGATAGCGTAGTGATCGACGACGTCCGAGGGGTCGTTCGTCGGCGAGGCCATGGCTGGGCCTTTGAGAGTATAGCATCCCTCTGACACGTATATCGAGGACCTTTTTGTGTGCTGCACCATGGGGGAGTTGTCTGCTACACTAATGGGCCGCGGGCGTTGAATGGCTTCAGACTGATTGCGCCCGTGGTTGTTGAAGCGTTTGCGTGGAGAGGGCGATCGCAGTGGGCTGAAATTTATCTTGCACATTTGCTCGGAAGGAGGTTGAAAGCTGGGAGTCGGAGACATTGTGGTGTATGTGTGGGTGGTCATTATGTACTAGCAATAGCTGGTGATAGTAATAGAGGATGCTATGTGTTGTGGGTGGCGCTGTTCAAAGTAGAGATGCTGTGAGATGCTGTTGTTGTGTGAAGACGCAGTGTGGGAAAACATTGAATGATCAGGACATGTCCTAGACCACATGGACAGGGCAGCATGGTGGCTGCGCACAATGCAGGGGATAGGTGCAATCACAGGGGGGCACAGCAAGTGGAGCTCTAGGCCGAATCGCGAAATGAAGATGTTGTGAATGGAGTAATTAATCAAACAACGGGCTAGGGGGGTCGGCGCGATGAAACAGAATGCAGTTGCTGGCCTAGTAAGCTCACGTCCGCTCGACCAATGCCAAAGGGTCCAGGGCGGCACTGGTAGGCTGTCAGTGCTTCGGCCAAACACGTGCCGACGTGACGAATGACTCCGCGCTAGTAGGCCCGTTGGTGTGGAGATCTCGCTAAGATTTCACTCGCCGCGACCGTTGGCCCAGTGAGCTTGAGATAGCATAGCATAAGCTGATAGACGTCCCACCATGGCCGATAGCTCGAGGAAGAGGAAGCAGCCTGCCAACACGGGCCCCGGTAATCCTGTCAAACGCACCCGCTTCCAGCAACGACCCCAGTACGTCATCCCCGCGGTTTCGACTAGCAACGCGTACCCCAATGGCGAGATCAACGTCAAGAACTTTCTCAAGTCGCACGAGAATGAGATCATGTCGCTCGAGGGCGCCATGAAGGCGGCCAAGAAAGGCCTCTCGCGACGGGCTTTTCAGGATGTGCCACGGGAGTTGAGGAGGAGAACCGCAAGTCACAATCCGCAGCGCGTGCCGAAGAGATTGCGGGTCAGGGCGCGGCAGGAAGCTAAAGAAGACAACACGCCCATTGCCAGAGGTACTAGTGGGAGTGGTATTGGGAAGGGCAAGAAGAAGTTTCTGAGGAAGGAGGGGAGGGAGCAGAGTCGGCAGAAGGCGAAGAAGAGGAGGGATGGCAGTGGGAAAGACGACGATGGAGACGCGAAGATGGAGGATGCGCCGAAGCAAGTCACGAAACCCTCACTACCGAAACCGAAGCGCAAGTTCCCGCCCTTGGCCACGCCGGCTACCCCTCCATCGCGATTCCGCAGACGCCAGCGAGACAAGACATGGCTTCCTACGCACCTGTGGCATACCAAGCGCGCAAAGATGACGGACCCTAAGGAGCCGCTCTGGCGGTTTGCGATACCGTTGCAGCCAGCGGTCAAGGCATATCGTCTCACACACAGAGCTGCAACCCTTCGGGGAGCTGTCGCGTGGGATATGAGCTACATGTCAACTCTCAGCCTAGAGGGTCCTGAAGCCAGTATAGCGGGGTTACTCAAGGGTCTGCACTTCTCTGCAGAGGACGCAGAGGACCCATGGCAGAACAGAGGCAGGGCTAAGAAGTGGCGGAATGGCACTAGGACCTGGGAAGGCTGGATATACGAAAGAGAAGCGAAGCCGCTGGTGAAGATTGCTCGGGTGACTATCGTCTGGTGTGCACCGCATGCAGATGGCAAAAAGACGAAAGCTTTTATTCGGGTGCATCCGGGCGCTTTCTTGCAACTCTGGGAGGAAGTTGTTCGAACTGCTAAAGTGCAGAAGCCAGCTGTTACCGTTCGAGATCTCCGTTTCGAAATTGGGTCTATTGAGATTACGGGTCCTGCCGCTGCGGAAGCCCTCTGCTCTGTTCTTGCTCCTGTGCCTTTCCCTGAGGCTGGCTCTGATGCCCCACAGTCTCTTTGGCCGGCTTTGGCTTCCGTGACGGACGCTGCATCCTTACCGGCGGGTGCGCTGTTAGCGTTTGATATTTCAGATCCCCGACTTCACGATCCTCCTCGAACTTCGCCCATATCGCACGATCAACAGTCGCTGACTGCCTTGACGGAAACTCTCGCGACTTGGCCAGTAGACAATACCTCGACTCCAGCCTCAATCTTCGACACCAACAGCCGGCTAGCCGCACAGCGAACCATGCCGTCTCAAAAATCCATTAATCGTCGGAAGGGTGCATGCACATTAGGCGAAGACCCTGAGGCCCGATCCACCGACCCGCGCATTCCGACACTTGTATTCGTGTCACGAGAAAGCAAGTCCTGGACCATTCTCCTTCCCTGGAAATGCGTCATGCCTGTATGGCGACAGATAATGCGCTACCCGGTTTCCACAGGCGGCAACCCCAGATTCGGCGGCTTGAAAGAGAGACGTCAGGTCGACTTTGAGCGCTCGAAGCCGCACTTCCCGTACGACCATCCTGGTACAGAGGCTGGTTGGGTCTGGGAAGAGCGTGAGCGTGAAGTGAGGAAGCACGAGTGGACTAAGCGTCCGAAGGGGAAGAGGATTGAATGGTCGACTATAGATCTCGGTAAGGGTAGGAAGGGCGAGATTGGAGATCCGTGGTCTTGCGACTGGCAGAGGTTGATTGCAGATGTGTCTTCACGTCAAGAATCTCGAGCTCCTGTCAGACAGCTCTCTTTCAGACAGGCAGTTGGCTTGATTGACGGTACGGCTTCGTCGAGCGGCTCGTTGCCATCAGATGTATTCACTGTCAAGATCACAATGGTCCAACGAGGCACCCCTACAGACTGCGCTCGCATCTACCGACTGCCTAGCGACCCACAACTCCGTGGGCAATGGCTAGCCCAGCTGCCACAACCCGGCACGAAGCGTACGTCGACGAAGCAACAGAGTCGAGGTGTCGTTAAGCAACCAGACCATATCCAGCGCAGGGATCTTGCAAGGAGTCTCCTAGACAACGGCCCACCGAGCGCTGGCGAGGAGAATTACCCTCTAGTGCCTGACGAAGTGGATCTAATCGGCTTCGTCACAACGGGCAACTACAACCTCGCAGAGGGCATGCCGACCGCGGTTGCAAATCTGGTAATGTACAGGGTACTCAGTGCTGGGTCTGACTCGGGCGTGCCAAAATCGGATCGCGTGTGCATTGTGCGACAGGCGGGAAGTACCATCGGCAGGCTGGCGAGATGGGAGGTAGTCTAGGTAGCCAAGATAGCCGTGGATAGATGCTCTGAATGATACCCATTGCTTGTTGCAGTCACCCTTATGCATCAGTGGAGACATGCAGCTCCACCGCAGATTCTTGGGTGAACAGGCAGTTCTCGGTGTGTGGGTTGGGTGTGTGGGGTAGGCCAACTCTGGCTGCATGCGCTAAATCGGTGCCGGAGCAGGGATGCGCGATATCTCCCGTCGTGGCCGCTAACGTCTCAGCAACCATTTCTCCACGCCCTGAACACCATAGTCCATCACGCCCAGCTGCGTCATGTCTGAGGACCGCCCGGCAGACGACCAGGCCGAGGGCGTCGACGCTGCCGTTGGCCTGCCCTCGGACGCGCTGGCAGAATTGGTACGCCTGTCCGCCGCAAACCGCCTCCTCGGCTACTAACAATCCTGTCGCAGACTACCAACATCCTCGACGACTTGCTGAGCAACATCGTCTTCACCACGGCCCTGTCGTGCCACCGCTCCGAGAAGCTGCTCCGCATGCAGTCGGCGGCGACCCAGGCCGAATCCATCGCCCTCGCCAACCTCGAGCCCCAGTCGCAGAAGCAAAACACGACGGGCGCCACGTCGATACCCATCGCTGAGACATCCGCCGCCAAGTACGAGAACGGACGCGTCTTCCTCAAGGGCAACCCGCTCAAGACGACGCCCGAGATCATATGTCCGCACTGCAAGCTGCCCCGGCTGATGCACCCCATCATGGGCAAGGGCATGCAGAACCCGGACCTGACCAAGGAGTACTGCATGCTGTATCCGTGGGTCCAGCGATCCGGCCACGACGTCTACGGCAACCCGTTCCCCACCGACATGGCTAAGAGCAAGAAGGAACGCGAGCTCATCAAGCAGCAGCAGAAGAACGCCGAAAAGGAGAGCGTAGGCACCCCCGGCTCCCAAGACACCGACATGGCCGGCGGCGACACCAAGGAAATCAAACTCAACACCGGCGGCAAACCAGCCTCGTACATCCCCTGGCACACGTGCCCCAACTGCAAGCGCAGCTTACTCATAACGCGATTCGCCCAACACCTCGAAAAGTGCCTGGGCATCAGCGGCCGCCAGTCCTCGCGCAACGCCATGGCCAAACTCACTGGTCAAAACGGCACAGGCTCAGGCGTCGGCAACACGCCGCTCGGAAGCCGCATGGGTACTCCTGCGCCTGGCTCCCAAGACCCCTCCGAAAAGACCAAAACAAGCAGTAAATCAAAGGGCATCTCGCCCGTCAAACGCCTCGCCGCCACCGACGATGCCGACGACTTCGACGCCGACGATACTCCCGAACGCCGCAAGATGAAGAAGAAGAGCTCGTATATTAAAAAAGCGGATCGTGATAAACCGTCTAATGGGAGTGGTGGCAGTAACGGCACGTTGAAAGTCAAGTTAAAAACAGGAAGACCGGATATAGGTGATCGTAAACACAGTGAGAGTAGTGAAAGAGGGGAAGGCAAGCGTGACAGAGATGTTGATGATGTCGGCGGCGATTCACCCAAAAAGAAGAAGATCAAGCTCAGCCTGGGTGGCGGTGGGAAGGAGAGGAGTAGGGCGAGTACGAGTGTAGAGCCTGGGGGTAGTGTGGCGAGTCCGGAGTAGAGTTCCGTTGAAGAAGAGGAAGAGCAGCATATGGCTAGTCCCCGAGAGTAGAATTCCTTCCTAGACGCTGAGGGAGATACGGATGAAGACGTGGGTGGGGGAACGGATAGAGATGCGGAGGGAGATACAGATGACGACGTGGATGGGGATTGGGAGCCGGAATAACGCTCAGGTTGTAAAGAACGGATGTACGTGTATCAACTGACGAAGCAGAACATGCATGGATGCATAGGATCAGGCGTTTGGGGCATGCTTCTCTATTTCGGGATTCGGGACGAAAGGGTTATGGTGTTTGGCTTCTTTCGTATACCATGGCATGGGAACTGGGGGTTGTCGAGGTAATGTTCTCGACCCAGTGGCGTTTCTGCATTTCGTCGTTCTCGTTCTCAGATAGTGGAGTGCAAGGGCTTTGTATGATTATTATCGGAGGAGGTTGAACGGGAATAAAGAGAAGACTGTTTAGGCGGCATTTTGCTATTGAGTAAACTTCTACTGATCTTGTGATAACGTCTGTCTGACCTTACTTCGACTTCCTCTCATCTTTCCTGTAACTTGAGCCCCTGACGAATCCAAAAACAGCTCCTGCTCTCCTGTGCTGCCATAGCGCAAGTCCATGTGCATTCCCGATATCCCCTAAAAAGACGCAGATGAGTCGAGTGATGAGCCTGCGCTTCTAAAGATGGTAACCATATAGTCAATAGATCCGAATAGACGCTGACACGACAGGTAGAAGAACCGAATTATCTTTAATTGGGTAGTCTTGCACTCTCATAAGGTGCGCGTGCACCCTCGACGCTCGATAACGCTTAGCAAACTGCCATGTCACTTCCAAAATTAGGTGCATCATATCAGGTCAGATACATGGCGGAAAGCTTGATGGTGAACTGTAAGTCTACGCAAACAAAACCTCGAAAACCCTTACAGCATGATGAGGTCAGATTGCTACCTAGGTAGTTGGATCAAAGAATGCGTGAGCCGCTTCTGACACTACGCATCTGTTGAATTAATCGAGATGTCATCAATGACTGTGTGTGCAGCGCTTCTGATCAGGTCAGTGCAGAGTTGGGAAGTGACGATGCGACGGCACACGATCCGTACATGGAGTGTCGTCATTAGAAATTCTTTCAACATGACTCTTAGAACACATGTGGCTCCAACACACACGACGGGACACGACTAGCAACAGGCTCAAGCGTTGATTGTGCAAGATTCTGGACGTCAGACCTGCTGGATGCGGCTCGTCCGCTAGAATTTCGATCGGGAAAGACACTACGCCAGCCCAGTGAGGTGATCGAGCCGTCGGAGGGTTTCTTGTACAAGATGTATGTAGTCACAGTATACATTTGGCTTGAACGAGTGTTTGAGCATGCACTGAGGTAAACACGATGCAAAAGTAATTCCATAACGAGGAGCTCAAGACGTTGTGGGGAAAGGATAGCCCGCATACTCAGATGTCGAGTTTAGTTGGAGCTGGAACAGAAGCAGTACCTAGGTAACAGTGGCAGTAGCAGTAGTCAGAGCTGTATGAAGAAACCACCTTTCAATCGAAAAGTCCATGCCACGTAAATCAACATGTGCATTCCTGCACAAGACAACTCACCACAACTAAACTTACATATCAACCAGTAATTCCCGCAAACTTCTCTACATACGCGCATGGTCGTGTGCACACGACTGGCGTCTGTCTATCCAAGCCTAATCCCGTCCCCACACGTCATCGCTCACGCACGCACAAGTCGGCGAACTATCCACCACCACACCCTCTCGTGGATACACGGCAGATGGTGGACTACGGGCGAGTATCGCAAACATTGGCCAACGGGACTCGACGCCGCCCACCTATCGCATGTCGAGGGGAAAGAGCGGCTGATTTGGCGTTGAATTCACAACTCTGATTTGAATGCATGGGTTGTAACTGGCTAAACGTGCCATATGCACGTCAGTGGCCAGTTGTTACTGGCTGGGAAATAACTCATGCGTTCGGCTGGACAGACGGGTGGGTTCATGGCGCTACTAAGCGTCCTTTTTTCTCATTTCAATGATCTGCTGTGGCGTTGGGCGGGCATGCGCGTCATCATGGCCCCGGACGGGTAGTGTAGTGTAATCGCTCGAGTGGGGTTGGGCCTCACCGGTTTGGGGGCCTTTGGGGAGGGGAGATTTGGTGTGCACGCGGTATGAATGAGATATCGGAGGGATGTGAAGTTGGTTTTTCGTGTGGTGAATGTATACGACTTGATGCTCGGTGGATGGATAGGGTGATTTGTTGCGATACGGGCGTAGTTGTGAATATGGTGGCGTTGGATTATTGAACAACAACGGTCGCTAGTCACCTTGGTGGTAGTTTATTGACAACAAGTAAGTGTATCTGTCTGGGCAGATAGAATGATGGATGATGATGTTTGCATCTCATAGCAGACCAGCACCATGTGTCGCAATCATGCGTGAGAGTCTTAGCACATAGGTTCTCGTGACATACCGTTATTTTTGGTGACGACAAGAGTCACGATCTGTTGCGAGACGGGATATTAGCAGGACAAATGATGACGCAACTGTCTTGCGACGAAGAGACTTCGAAACTTCACAAAACAATGATGAAATTGAAAAGTACTGAAAATGCATTTGAATCACGCGCGGCTTTAAGCAAGAGCACACGCGAAGTATCATACAGAAACGGGGGGGAATCGACAGGCCGGAGCAAAGCGTGATGCTCAAGCTCGTTCACTGCTCACAATGGTAGGACCATCATCGTCTCTACGTCGAGAGTTGCGATCAGGACCGTGACCACGACCTCCTCCTCCTCTCCCCCGCCAAGGCATGCCTCCGCCTCCGCCTCCGCCTCCGCCTCCTCGTTTCAACCTACCATCTTGTCCACCGCCACCACGTCCACGACCAACCTGGAATTGTATCCTAGTGAGCGGCTGTTCGACCCAGTCAACGCCCTTCAGACCCAAGTTCTGCTTCTCCCAATCACTGAGCTTCCAGGCTTGGTAGAGACCCATCAACCGTTGTTGGTCTATCTCTTCCTTTCCGTGACTGACCGTTCGTGTCAACTTGATACCTCGTAGTTCCGGTACCCATGCTTTGATGTATTCGCCGTGTTTGTCGTAGTCGAGTGCTTGCTTTACAGGGTTGAAGACGCGGCCTTGCCGTGGATCGTTGCCGACACCAGCGACGTATTGCCAATTGCCCCAGTTACTAGCGGGGTCGTAGTCCACGAGGAAGCATTCGTACCACTCGGCTCCTACTCTCCAATCTATGTTCAGGTGTGACGACAGGAAAGAGGCGACGTTTTGCCGCGCGCGGTTCGACGTGTACCCAGTGACGAAGAGTTCGCGGTTTGACGCGTCGATGAGACCGACTCCAGTGCGTCCAGAACGGAACCGTTGGAAAGA